GAGAGGGGAGTCTGGGATAAGGAGGGGAGGGAAAAGAGAGGAGGAGAGGTGCAGCTCAAGGGAGGAACAAAGGGGTGGTTAAATGGAGTGAGACTCAATGTGTGACATCAGAAAGGGACCATTATGAGGGAATGCATTTTAAGGAGAGCCTGGAAGTTAACAATCAGGATATGCTGCCCAATAGGGGACATCTGTTCATGTCCATGTCCCAGAACAAGAAGAAACAGCTTTGCTGATTTATTTTTGGTCCTCTTGTCTTTTCCAGTCAACAAGCATGTGCTTGAGTGGCATTGGGAAGGTTCCTCAAAGAGTGGAGTTGGGCCAGGCATGGTGGCTCACACCTGTAATCCTAGCAGCTCAGGAGGCTGAGACAGGAGGATCACAAGTCTAAGGCCAGCCTCAGCAACTTAGCAAGCCCTGAGCAACTTAGTGAGGCCCTATCTCAAAATAAAAAGTGGAAGGGATGTGACTCAGTGGTTAAGTGTCCCTGTATATAATCCCTGGTGACAAAAAGGGTGGGGGATGGACTTGGGTATAATGGGGCCATAATTAGTCTCCTCACCTACCTTCCCTCACAATGGTCTTCCAGCCACATTGACTTCCTTTCATTTCCTTGAATCCCCTGAGCTTTCTCTCACCTTAAGACCTTCCCAATTCTGTTTTCTGCATGCTCAGAGAACTGGCTCCTCTTCATCTTTTGGGTCTTACACAGAGAGGCCATCTTAAACCACTCTGAACAAAAAGGCTCCCAATCTCCCCACTGCTGTCTCCATCACTGTACCCTATTAGCAAGCACTAATTGTCACTCGTCAGCATATCTTTCCTGATTTGTCTACCTGAAAATTGTCCTTGACACCTACTATCTATTCAATAATTATTTGCTGATTGAACAAATGGATGGAATATTCCAGATTCACTGATTGGAGCACTGGCAGCAAGCCCCAACAACCCATCTTTGCTTTTGTGATTCCTCTTCCTGACCTCTCCAAGCCTAGCTCCCACCTGTGCCTTGAAGATGGTCCTGCTGCCTGTGAAGACCCGAAGCCTAGCAGAAGGAGAGGTGAACAGTCATCCTTGGGTGGGACAGAAGCAAAGAGACACTACAGTTTAAAGAAATTGGAGCTAGGTATAGTGGTACACACCTGTAATTCCAGTGGCTTGAAGCCGGGGTGGGGGGGGGGCTGGGGATGGAGGCAGGAGGATTGCAAGTTCAAAGCCATCCTCAGCAAAATTGAGGCACTAAGCAACTCAGGGAAACCCTGTCTCTAAATAAAACACAAAATAGGTCTAGGGGTGTGGCTCAGTGATTGAGTGCCCTGAGTTCAATCCCCCCTCAAAAAAAAAAAAAAAAGAAATTGGAGTTTGCAGCTTATCTGATGCTCCTTCTGTCATTAGAAAAACTGAAAGAGAATTACAAAAGGAAAGCACTCTAAAAAGAGGGCGACATTGGAAATATTCTAGTCAGGGACAAATGCTCATCTGTGTGGTACCATCAATGGGGAAGGGGGACCTGCTCCATTCCTGTGAGTGCAGAGGTTACTTTATAGAGTAAAACCTCCAGAATCTCAACCATCTGAAAATGGGTGATCAGAAAGGAGGGTGCCTTTGCTCTGTTATGCGGCCTGCCGGTTGTAGGGCTACTATCATCCTCACTTGCTGTGCACCTTTATCCAAATAAAATGTCATGGACTAGAATTCACAAAGGTCCAGGAGTTGCTCAGTGCTCATGTTCCCTGTATTCTTGATGAGAAGGATGTTTTTGGTTTGGCCTGAGTATTTATTTCTCCAGAAACATGCTCTATGGTCATGTGGGATTCCCGGCGCCATCATGGATTCTAAAGGCTGCATCTTTCTCAAGAGTTGAGAGTCAGTCTACCGATTCAACTCTTGGCCAAACTTGTGTAAGTTGAGTTGATCCAAAGTCCAAACAAACCAGATACTCCTTCTGGACAGAAGTCCAATTCTTTCCTTTGATAATAGTTTTTCAGAAATTAAAAATGCAGTGTGTTTTCTGTTCTTGAAGTTCTTATAATCACATCCAATATCGTATCAGATGCATCAGTTGCCATAATGAAAGGTTTTGAAAAGTCTGAAGCTTCCAAAGTGGATAAAGAAATCAAAGCTCATTTGAACTTTTGAGAAATATTTCAGCACTGTAGGATCCAAAGACTCTAATGAGTTTGCCCCCTCTTTGTAAAACAGCACAATTGACAAGCAACAATTCCAAGTGAGGGTAATTCTAAGGCATCTCCCAAAGGGCATGCTTTCTTAAAAAATTAATTATAGTGAGTTTGCCAATCTCTAACAGAGTCTACTTTGTTCCACAAAAGAATTGGATTTCAAATATCTGATCTTTGAAAGCCCAACAGACATTACTAAATTTCATTTAATTTTTGGATGACTGACTGCAAGCCCCAAACTGAATACACCCTCACAATTAGGGATGAGGTCAGAAAATGTCACTCTGAAACTCAGGATTAAAAAAAATAATATAAAATCAACCACAATGATATTATTTAAACACAACTAGCCTTTTAAGAAAGAAATAAGGCTTTAGAGATGTTGTATAAATTTGTGGGAGATGTTCCTTAGGCTGTCCTCAGATCTCAGCAAGGAGAATTAAATCTATGTATATAATGTAAAAAATAGTGATACCATTTGTTGCACAGCTACTGTGTATCAAGTCCATGCCAGAAACTTTACATTATCTTATTCATTCTTATTAATTCAAGTGCCACCGCTGGGATTTTAACCCAGGTCTTCTCAACTTCAGACTATATGGTTAAGACAATAGATAGAAGAAAAATGTCCCCATAAGTCAAGCAAGAAGGCACCTATCTGAAACATAAATATGGTAAAGTCTCCACATTTGATTGAGGTGAACAATCCAAATCAGTTATCCAGACTGAAATGTCCCTGGAGGGTAGGAAACTTATTCCTTAAGGTCTCCTTAACCTGCTGGATAAATCCCTTAAGAATACTCAATTCCCTGTGATCTAATTCAATATTTACCACAGACTCCTTTAATTCAGGCTCCTGGGGATAACTTTCCACGGGGAAGAAGCACCTTGTGTACATGGCCAGGGTCAGCTTGCCAGCTTTGTTCTCTGGATGAAAAAATAAATAAACTGGTCCGGTGGAGGACAAATTAAGGTTTCTGCTGAGGGGGAGTCTTTGGAATCAGTTCCTAAAATGATCAATTCTGAATTAACAAAAATGGATCCATCCTACATAAAGGATCTGATCCTACAAAACCAAGACCCAAATCCTGGAGCCTTGATGACCTCCATCATGAATTATACATAGGGAATGGTCAGTGATAGAGTGCTTGCCTAGAATGCAGGAGGTCCTGGGTTCAATCCCTAGCACCAAGAGAGAATGAGAAGACTGTGTGTGTGTGTGTGTGTGTGTGTGTGTGTGTGTGTGTTTACATATACACATACACACATACCAATGCTCACCTTAAACATCCTATTAAGCTCTCTAACCATCTTAATACGTCAATGTAGTATCATTCTTAACGGGTACCATTAATTAATGGTTATCATCTTGCACATACCCCTTCTTGTCAACTGTAGCTAAAGGGTGAATGCAGAATGTTATAACAGCCCACAGCATACTCCATAAGTCATTAGTCAGTTTTTTAAAAAAAATGAATCAGATGAATTCCCTGCACAGAATTGTGCTGGAAGAGAACCCAAGGAGTGCTCAAGGACTAGCATGCCTGTAATACCCTTCTCAGGAAAGCTACTCTTGGAAATTCTTTTTTGCAAACAAACGCCATGGCTCAGGTCAGGTGCCCTGATTGAAAGCAAGACCATTACATTAGCCTCAACCAACGAGAACAGGAACTTGTCAGTCATGTGTGGCTCAAGATCAAAATGACCATGTTTAAATTGTTTGTGAGGGAGGCCATGTGTCTCTGAGGCCATTTGATGTGAAGCTTTATGCCCTTGTAAAAAAGCTCCTGATTAGTTACTGTCAGAGTAACTAAAGCCCCTCCCCCCACACCTTTCCCTAAATATGAGGTGAACAAAAGAGGGTGGGTATTTCCAGCTCAACTGAGTAGCTGGACCAGGTTTCTGGGGGATATCCCAATCTTAGAAGACTTGGGAAGCTTTGAATGATAACTACCTCTCTGGAAAGTTAACTTTTCATATTGAGTTAACTGTTTTCCTCAAAAAATATTATTCTGAAACTTAATTCAGTCTACTTCTGAAATTTTACACTTGAAGCTGCCCTTGGTTGGACTCTTAGATTCAACAAAAGAATGCTGGTACTTACTGGCCAACAAGAAATAGCTTATTATAATCCACTGTCTACTGAAGTCTTAATTTTTTTCTTCTCTTATTCATCATTTAATAGGGACACATGCAAAACAGCAGGTACAAGTAGGATCCTTTCCTCAACCTGGAATTGTTTTTCTTCCTCACTTTACTATTTCTCTTCCTTAGCACTTTGCTTTTTAAATCCATAACTAATCTTGTTTGTAATTTACATGCCAAGGTTAAATTTACTCATGAACCACTTAAATTGGAATTGCTCTATAGCTTTTTAATGGGCTGACCTTTGGTTCTATCACTCTCTTTCAAGGGCACCGTGATTCTTTTCATAGAACTTAATTTTCAAAAACATGTGAAGTGCACAAGAGTTTAAAACTGAGACGAAGTGATGTCTACAAATCTTGATATTTTTAAATCTTAAAATATTTATGGTTTATGGGCTGAGGTTGTGGCAGAGCGCTTGCCTAGCACGTGCAAGGCCCTGGGTTTGATCTTCAGCACCACATAAAAATCAATAAATAAATAGAATAAAGCTATTGTGTCCAACTACAACTAAAAATAAATATTTTAAAAAATATTTATGGTTTACACTCATGTGCATTAAATAAAATCTTAAAATATGCTTTAGGAAAAAAATTACCAATTATCAAGTGCTTACTATGTGTGAGGCATGATGTTAAATGTTTTACCTTCTCTCCTTCAATCTTCACAGCAATCTTTGGATGCAGGTAGTTTTATTTTATGCAGATTTTGAAACTGAAGGAGAGAAAGCTGAGTCCAATAAGTACCATGTGCTTTTTCTTACTAGTGGGCAACATCAAGATATCAGATGTGGGGGTCTTGCTTCTGAGTGCTGTTTCTGGTTTTTCTCCTGTGTACATGGTCATCTGAGCTTCAACTTTCTCCTGTTAATCATTAATAATAATCATTTATCATCATTTTTTTATTTGAGGTACACCATAGCTCCAACAGAACAAGCTCCTTATCATTTGACTATTATAGTTTCAAGCCAAAGTTTCTTAAACTTGGTATATTTTTAAATACCTACCTTTGAAAGGCAAAGATCATGGAGAGTGATCTTAGGTTAAGTCCTTAGTTAATGTTTTAATAAAGGACACTAGAGAGCTGAAAACAAGAACAAAGTGTGGGTGGGGTTACTGGTACTGGAAAGGTTGTAAGGACTTCTGGGTGACCAATGAAGGTCAAATGAGAAAGTGCCCAAAACCAAGACTTCACCTAAGTATATTTTGTCCAGACTCTGTTCAGCTCAGGATATGTCTTAGAAGTTGATGCGAAGACAAAAAAAAAAATAAGACTCAATGTGTTATATAGAGTCCCATCGGGCCAAAGTATGAGTAAAGAAGTACTAAAGGACAAAAACCTAGAAAGCAAGCCCAGGGGAGAAAAATGGGAAAGTCATGCACAGAAGTTCAGAATTCATTGCACAAAGAGGATGCTTTAAGGGTTTCTTAGCAGGGTCAGAGGACATTAGACTTCTGATGCTTCTTAGGGCAGAGAAAATGGTGGGCATAGTGTGTGAAGGACAGAAGCCGGGGAGAGTAGGAGATCCTTATGATAATCTAGTTAAGAGGTCATAGAGCTAAAAATCTCGGGGTGGTGACAAGAATAGAAGGACTGTAGAGGACATGGTCACCACCTGGATATGGGGATTGTAGAGAAGACTCCGGATCCACAGTCACATAAAGATTCTGGGCTCTGGTGAAAGGTCCAAGAATTTCTATTCTCCTTTCTTTTTTTTCCCTCCACCCAATGTAAAATGTCCTAAGTTGACATCTACTGGCAAATTACTGACAGCCTAAATATGCAAAATAAATGCAAGAGTCATCTTTGCCTACGAGAACCATATACAGAAATAAACCTTGGAAAAACAGTAAAACTAGCAAAGGTTCAGGTGCCTTACTTCCAAAACCGTGGGCCCTGGTCTAAGGCTCCAAGCACTTAATTCCTTGGGAGGTCGGTGAAGACCACTGATAACCAAGAGGCCAGAGTCCTGGTGTCCATTCTGCTTAATTATTTATGTCTTCGTTTTTATATTGGACTACAGTATTTCTATTGGAGCTCCCCTGCAGAATCCCACCTCCAAGATTACAGTATCTTTCCCTCTTTCCAAGTATGGCCTCTATATTATTTCATTTGGAAAAAAAATTCCTCTCTCCTTTTCTAATCTCCTTCTTGATAAAAGCACTGGACCCTTTCAGGGAAGAAGTGAGGGCCTCTACATCTGAGTCTGGGCTCCGACATCAAGACAAAGCCAGCGAGCCTCCTCCTCCAGCATCCCCTTGCATTCCTGCCACCATCACCGTTTTGCCTTCCCTACTGCATCCCTCCTGGTTTCCACGGCAACCGGCGGGGCGCCCACGTGTGGGCTCAGGACCTCTGAGGCCACAGCCCCGCCCCGCCCCGCCCCCCACCCCTGCGCTCGCGACGGGCCGCACGGAACACAGCGCGAGGAGGGCAGAGGCCTGGTTGCCAAGGAAACGGAAGGACGCTAGGCAGCCGACCCCACCGCCACCGCCCCTAAAAAGGCCGGGCAGGCGCTGCGGAAGGCTGCCTCCAGGAGGAGGAGGAAGCGGGAGGGAAGACGTGAGTGGAGGAGGAGAAGCCCAGGCCAGCCCCAGTTCGATTGATGGGCAGCCCCTCTGCACTGAACCCGCCCGCCGAATCCGCTCCTTGGCCCCTTTAGGAGACAAAGTGTAGGCTCTCAAGGTAACTGACCCGCCTAGCCCAGACCTCCGCGGGAAGCGAGGTACTCCTAAGATTCTGGAGGGAGGGAGGGCCTCCTGATAACAGGGCTGCCCTCCGGGGATGGCCCCCGCCCCACCCCACCCCCTTTTTTCCAGCCTCTAAAGCACTGATTTGGGGAGTCTTATCATTTGCGCACAGGCAGCCCCTGCGCACCTACGTGACTTCACTGCACCCTCCTCAAACCTGCAAGAACAGGAAAGGTATATTGGTGATATTTGGTATTAATGATAGCACCAATGGGCTTGTCAAACCTGTGGCATCCGCCCCCCCCCCCGCCCACGTCCCCAAAGTTTCCCAGTTACACATTGAGTCTCTCTGGGTTTGATCCTCAATATGTGATGGCCCATCTCCCTTTGTTTAACAACAAAATGTAAAGTGGCCGCCTTGAACAAGCTCCTTCCTCGCCCTCATCCACCCCCCACCACCTTGATTTCCTAGGCCAAATTGGCTAGGAAGAGTCAAAAGATTTCCCTGCCTTTCCCAACAATGACTCCTCTTTATGATCCCAGGACTCAGGGAGTTAGGAAAATTGGCCCCAAATCACTAAACTTTGTTGTTTATTATCAAGACTTTTTAAAAATTTTGTTTATTTTTTAGTTGTAGCTGGACACATTACCTTTATTTTATTTATTTATTTTTATGTGGTGCTGAGGATGGAACCTGGAGCCTCGCACATGCTAGGCGAGTGCTTTGCCACTGAGCCACAACCCCGACCCCTATAATCAAGACATTTTTATAAGTTAAAATATTTAAAAACTCTAATATTATTTTGTAAATCTAAGATTGAAACAAATCCTACAATTCTTGTTATTACAAATTAATTGAGAAAAAGGTTGAATTAAGATCTGAAATCTTTCTTCCAGGCACTCAATTGTGGAAAAGAGGGAATTTATAAACCTGAATTGCCAGGTATTAACGTTGCCATTTAAAATTTGTTTTAAAGGAAGCTTCAGCCAAAGAACAGGTTAAATTTACAGCTTTGCTTAGTTGTTGAAATCAACTTTAATGATATTTCTAATATTATAATATTATAAGCTGAAAACAACAAAATAGCTTATTAAAAAGGTCTCCTTTCAAATCATTTTTAAATAAACATGGCCACAAAACAGGACCCTCTATATATGTAAAAACTCATATATATAATATTATACATAGTATGTTACATATAGTCATATATATAAAATCATTTAATTCTCTAAAAATTATACATATATACACAGAGAAAAAGAGAGAAATTTTTTAAAAATGTATTCTGCAATCAAATCCTCTTCTCCTTATTCAAGGAGACACAGTTTGAATTCATTGGAAATTTACACGAAAGAGAAATTTGTATGTCACAAAGTTCTTAGAATTTTTCTCATTGAAATTTCACAGATGTGTAGAATTTGGAGGCCAAGAAGAATCCTTAGCTCTTGCTTTCAGTGAGGCAAGTTCCCTTATCCCTCTACCTCTTTCCCTCCCACTACTTAACATGGCCTCTTCACTGATTTCTAAAGCACAAATTTGACACAGTACATTATCACGAAAGATTTAAAACAGAAGTATGCATAACCATGAGTGGATTCTAAATTGAGAAGCAGCTTAAAGGTGAGCAATAGAAGACAATATGGAATGCTATTTTAGAAACATATGCCTTGGCCATTTTTATTATCATTGTCTTCCACTCCTCCCACCTGTCTGTATTTGCTGATGAAAAACTCTTGGCTTCAAATGGCCATCTGATTGAGTAGGCCCACAAAACTGAGCCCCATGATTTTCTCCTGTGGGATTATATCCATACGGTTACTTCTGTTTCTTATTCATCCTGATCAGTTTTTCAAACCTGCAGTGTGGTATGAATTTCAAGTGAATGTGGGAGAATATTTTCCTAACCTGAGATAATCAACCATCTCCTTGGACAATCTCTACAGTCTGTTTCCTTGGTGCCTACAGTATCATTTAATCTCAGAGTCTTGATGAACTGAAATAAGTAATTACATGTAGTACCATGATGCTTCCAAATACAGTGTAATAGAGACTTGGGGTGGGGGGGTGGAGAGAGAATTTGGTAGGCAATTGTAAAGTCCTTTATTTGGTAGGTGATTGTGAAGTCAGAAGTAACCTAGCAAGTTATTCAATAGCATTACTTCCTGCCTCTTTAGACAAAGTGATTTCATGCCTTCTGATTTACAGGCCTCCTTAAAATAACATTGTGTTAAAACCATGATAGCTGACTTTGCTATGTTAACTTTGTAACCATATGATTGGACTCTGGGATGTGCCTCTTTAGTGACCATTAACGTATTTTCATTATGATCTTTGTGTTCTCTGACTGATTAATATTCAGACAGGCTTCTCTTCCCAACAGTAGCAGCAGGGATCTCTCTCTCTTATTAACACCATAGTTTTCTGAAAAGAGTGGGAACAGAACTTCATTCTATGCAGGTACAAATTTATATGAAAAATGAAAAGTGATCCTTTAAAATCTAGTCTCATAAAGGACTATGAAAATGCTGAGAGATTATCAGATGTGGTGGCTCACACCTGTAATCCCTGCTACTACAAGGCTGAGGCAGGAGAATCTCAAGATGGAGGCCAGCGTCAGCACTGAGGGATACCCTATATCAAAATTAAAAAAAAAAAAAAAAGGACTGGAGGTGTAGCTCAGTGATCCAGTGCCCCTGGATTCAATAACCAGTACCAGAGGGGAAAAAAAAATGCTGAGAGATGATTTGGTTTGGCTGTGGACTGTGGAATCTAAATATTGGGTTGCAGTTTCAGACTCTGACTCTCAAAGACCAACATTCTATACTTGAGAGAAAGTTATTTCCCCTGAGGACCAGCAAAAGTTTTTCCTATTGTTCAGAGGTAGACAATAAACCTTGAGAGATTTCATAACTACCAGACGAGACATTGGGTCACCACAAGTCAGGGACAACCTGACTCTGCCAGTATCTACATGACTAAATAAACCTGAGGCGTTTGGGAAGGCCACAGAGGCCACACACTGAGGACTAGGATGTCTCTTTTAGCCTGTCTACTCAGAGCCTAGAGCAGGCCCTGTCACACCATGGCCATGAAAAAAAATATGTGTAGAAATAAATGAAAGGGCATCAGTGGACAATAAACAGGAATCTTGTGGGGGCTCCAGCGACCCTATAGGTGAGGTCTACCCATCTCATTATGAACAGTGCCATTTTATCCCTTTGTGAGCTTTAATATTATGGTCATGAATTTGACCGTGCCAATCAGAACCAAACTTTTTGAAATCCTCTACTTCCTTACCTCCTGTTTGCACTCTGTCCTCAGGACTGTCCCTTCGCTAACTGCTCTCACCAGGGTTATTCGCTACCACCTCCCCAAAACACTCCCTTGAGAGCTCAGAAAACCTCGTTTTCTGGCCTCCCAGGCTTCTTCACAAGGACTTCTCTTTGGCCACCTGTTCCTCAAATTATAGAGTTTGTCACAGGTTTGTTTTGTGCCCATTTTTTCTTTTTAGTCTCCATTCTACTTTAACCTGAGTCATCATTTGCCAGCATTGGCCAGATCTTTGCCTAATTGGCTTCAGAGTCCCGCATCTAACTGCTTGCTTGACATCTCCACTTGTGGAAGGGCCAGGACACATGAAACTCTGTGTTGTTTTCTCAGCTGCTGCTCCTCTGTTTTCTGAATGGACTGTTGGTCCCCCAGGCAGCTAGCTTGAGCCAGTGACCTGGGTTCCTCGACACTTCCTTCTCCACCCCATCCCTACAGTCACCAAGTCCAGATGGTTTTCTCTCCTGAACATCCTTCTTATCAGTTGCGGTGAAGAGTGTGGACACTGGCACCAGGTTCTCTGGGTTCCAATCCAAGTTCTTCCACTTAATAGCTCTGTAGCCTTAAGCAAGTTACTTAAGCAAGTTCTTTTTGTGCCTCAGTTTCCTCACCTGCAAAACAGAAATACAGTGCCTGCCTCTCAGCATCGTCGTGCAGATTGACTAAGTTAATGTGTGTAAATGCTCAGAACAGTGCCTGGCACTTCCAGAGGCTGGAAATAGGAGCTATGATTCCTGCTCTGTCCCTATTTCCCTTTTTCTTCTTCTTCTTCTTCTTCTTCTTCTTCTTCTTCTTCTTCTTCTTCTTCTTCCTCTTCCTCTTCCTCTTCCTCTTCCTCTTCCTCTTCCTCTTCTTCTTCTTCTTTCTCCTCTTTCTTCCCTCAACCTTGGCTAACCAAGCCTGGCCACCATTTTACCTCATCTGGGTTATTATCACCTATTCCAGTGGTCTTCTTGGTTCTGTGTTTTACTCCACCCCCAACCATTCTCCCTACTTTACAGCTGGAGAGGTCTTTTAAAAACACAGATCATTTATTACCCAGACTGGAACCTGTTAAAGGCTTCATATGACTCTTCCAACCATGGCCTTCGAGGACTCACATGAGCTGGTTCTCGCCAATCCCCCAGCCTTTCTGGGGCTGCGTCCTGAATTTCCTCCCTTGCCCCTGCTCCTTCCTCATCTGCATCTGCCCCTTCATGTCCTAAAGCCTCTATACCTGCTGTTCTCTCTGTTTCAATTCTTGCTTATCTCACTCCTTATCAAACCCAGTGTTCCCTGACCCCTCCAGGGCAG